TATTTAACGGAAACTGAAACTAAAAAAAAAAAAAAAAAAAAAAATTATTTTTAATAGAATAAAGAGAGAGAGAGAGAGAGAGAATGTTTGGATTCACAATGAATTTAATCAAATATTTTAATGTTACCTCATAAAGTTAACCTGAACTAACTCATGTGCAAAAGTTGTTTTGTTGGCAGGTTCTCAACCAAAACATTTTTTGTGTTTTTTTTTTTTTTTTCCACAGTCACTATGTAAAACGTGAATGAATTAGTCCGTACACATACGTATAATTATTATTATTATTATAATCAATATTATTTTTTTTTTGGAGGATTTGTACTGTAAGTTTCAATTTAAAATAATTATTTATTTTTTGATAATGAGTTCAACGACCTTTACACTGCAAAAAAAAAAAATTAAAATTATTTATTACAGAAAAAAATGGATAAAGTATAAAAAAAAAAAAAAAGGGGGAAACAATGAGAAAATACCAAAGATTTTTCTTGTGCATCATTTGTGGATTTCTTTTCATAACAGTTTATTTAATTGTTTTGGTTTTTTCCAAAGAAGATGATGATGGTGTCGTGAATGGAATCCATTTTAAAAATATTAATAAAAATTTAAAAATTCATTCGAAATTGACAGAAGAACAAATTAGGAGTTTATTGGTACTATACAACAATACCTGAAAAAGAAAGAAAATTTTAAAAAAAATTAATTAAAAAATAATTTTTTTTATTTTATTTTAAAGATGCAACAAGAATCAATTAATAATGAGAGAATACAAAAAATAGAAGAAACTTGTAAAAAATATAATTTGGGAATTTTTAAAACATTTGATAATAATAATAATAATAATAATAATAATAAAACAATCAAGTATCCTCCTGTACCACAATACAGCGTTTTTTATTTCGATTTGTTTGTATCAACATTTAAACAAAAAAATAAATAAATTCGATGAATAAAACTATTTTTTCTTTTGCAGAGAAAATAAATTGACATTTTGTCCAATATATAAAGCAGGTAGCACAACGTGGTTATATAATTTTTGCCTACTTGCTGGAATGACTGAAAAACAAATAAAAAATTCTAAAAAACAATTGAGTGAATTAGCAAGACAACATTATCCAATATTAGATCCTGAAGTAGCTGAACAAGTAAATAATTTAATATAAATTTATAATTTATTTAATAGATTTTAAATATAAGATTAATTTTTTAGAATTTCCAAAAAACAATAAAACTCATAACTGTCAGACATCCATTTGAAAGATTATTGTCAGCGTATAGAGATAAATTAGAAAATATAAATTCTGGAAGAGAACATGGAACATTACATTTTTATCACTCATTCGGTCGTAAAATAGTTAAAAAGTATAGAAAAAATGGTAATAAAACAAAAAATTGGAATTTGATGAATTCAAATCAATACATGTGGAATCCAAATGAACCCAAACCTGAAGGAATAGAACCTACTTTTGAAGAATTTATAACGTTTGTTATATTAACCTATACCTATTTAAAAATTTCAAATTAGTAATGATTAGTTTAAAAAAAAAAAAAAAAGAAAATTTCAGGTACCTGATTAATATTAATCTTTCCGATTATTCTGACGATCATTGGATTCCTTATTATTTATTTTGCACTCCATGTCTTCTTCGTTATGACGTCATAGCAAAAGTAGAAACCTTAAACGTTGATCAATTATATACATTTCACGTTCTCAACCTGCAAAATAAAATAAAACCTAAATGGATGCATAAAACTCAATTTTTACAACAAGGTAAACTCATTAATTATAAATTTAAATCTAATTTCCTTTTATAA